GAAAGAGAGAGACAGAGAGAGAGTGAGAGAGAGAGAGAGGAGAGAGAGAGAGTGAGATAAAGAGAGGGTGTTTCGCATGGGTACCTTAACGAAAATATGACTTTTTAAATGATTTTAGTTTTCAACAATACAAATGCAACTGAACGAGCTGATAGTTACGACGACTGCACAAAGGAATGTTGACACCGGCTGACTGAACAGCTGTGGAAAGTTTGCGTAGCGATTTTTAAAAAATGCTGTGATACGAAAATGATATGACTTTATTGATCTGAAATATTGGCAATTTTGTCGTTTGTCCAGGATTTTCAAAACCATTTTATTCTCAACTCTTTTTCTTCTCACAAAATCTTAGGGCCAAAGTAAGGAAGAAAAAAGATACGCCGCTTCATGGTTTGTTCACGTTGTTGGTATATTTACGGGGACAAAGAGGTATGGGGGAGGCGGGAGGGGGGGGGGAGACTTTAATATTAATTTCTTAATTTTTCTTCTTTTTTTCCCTCCGTTTTGTTGAAGATGTATGTTCAATCTTGTAACACCCTCCCCGCCTCCCAAAAAACAACAGATTACGTTGGAGACAAACTGCATCTCTCTTATTTCGAAGAAACTTGCGCAACGTTCAATCAATGCCCTGTGTTTAACCTAACAGTCACAAAACAAAAAATTATAAAATGTCTACATGTTACACACGTATGCTGTTTGTTTGTTGTTGCTGTTTCTTAAATTTTATTTTAAATTATAGGTTAAAAATATGAATAATTGTGACGTAGCTAGAGTATAGATGCTATGATGATGATGACGTCGTTAGTTCATCTCTCCTTCTTCTTCTTCTTCGTCGAATTCGCCCTCTTCCTCAGCTGTAGCGTCCTGTTTGGTGGGAGAGAAAGAAGAAGGCAAAAAGTGAGACCAGTACCGAGGGGACAGCATTGGAAGGGGGATAACAAAACAATTGTCTGCATGACTAAGACTTTTCATACTGATTGTTTCCCTTCGTTTCCAATTTTAATTGTGTGTTATTTTACTCCGTGTCGCTGTTACCCCTGTTACTTCTATTAATCATTACTGCGTTTTGCAACTATATTATTATTGTTGGGGTTTTTTTGTTGCTGAAGTTGTTGTTGATTGTGTTAGTATCGTTGCTGTTGCATTGTTGTTGTTGTTGTTGTTGTTCTTCTTCTTCTTCTTCTTCTTCTTCTTCTTCTTCTTCTTCTTCTTCTTCTT